TTTAAATCTCTTTGGCCTGGATCCAGTTGAGAGAGTGAGATGAATATTCCAAGACAAAAGGGATAAATAAGCGGGGGGGAGGGGGGGGTGGGTAACATGCCTGAGGAAGGTGAGAAAGCGATGAAAGGCGCCCAGGGCGCTGGTGTTCAGTAGCGGGGCTGGATGGAGGAAGACACCAGCCCAGGAGTTCGGAAACGCACAGATGCTCGGGAGAAAAGAACTGGTGTTCTAGTAGAAACGGAAGGAACTGAAGTTTAAAAACTGGGTGAGAACTTCCATTGGATCGTGAGTTCATGCCCTCATTATTTTTGCTCCAAAACAAACACTCAATAAATGTGTGCTGAACTGAACTGATAAAAAGCCCGACTATTTCCTACATCTCTCGTAAATGAGTATTAATATCCCAACCCAAATCGTATGGGCTATGAATTAGGGTCTGACATATGAAGCCTACAGAACTTTCTTAGCGCGGTGAGAGAATACAATTTAAAATGGAGGGCTGTTGACATAAAGGGTCACCCTATTTATCAACAACATTGTCACTTATTAATGTTTATTGTGGTCCAGTAGAATTTAAGAATGTGTGTCTTGCCTGAATGCGGAATTTCACTTTAATTGTCCCTTTGCCTCATTTCAGTCTCAAGCGTGGGCTCTAAAAAAGCCCCAGACTGTGTGTTTGCATTTTCTAGATTCCTAAAGGCACAGTTACCTTCGTTCCTACAATTCAAAGTACACCATGGTGTTCAAGAGAGTTCCGTAAAGTAGGGAGAATTACTCATTAGAACATTTGTAATATAAATAATAACAGTTGTGACTTCCAGTCCCAATATAAATGGTTATCATAAACAATTTGAAGCAGCATTAAACGTTCAAGTATCAGTTTGGCAAGTGTCTAATTTCTTCACTAAACCAGGTTTTTGGAGCTAGAGAACGTGTTTCCCTTCCTATTTTTAAAACACTTCCTGTGCTCTTGGCTTAAGGTGACCTGAGGCCCGTGAAGCATCTAACACAGGGAGGCACCTGCATTAGAGATACAGTACTTGCTTGAGTCACTGTTAAATGAAACCATGAATATTTGCTCTTATCTGTTCATATTGTTATTAGTTTGTTATCCCAAATTGAATCCCGATAGCGCCCTGTCTCTTGTGAACTCATCATTTTTTTGTATTCTGTTTTTATGCATTTGCGTCCATGCTTAGCACGAAGCCCGCCTTATCAGAGGTGCTGGGTGACTGGTAACTGATCAAATAAGAACCTGGGTGCCACAGACCTGCCCCCCCTTTCAACAGTAAAGCAGGCGGGGGCTGTCCCCACCTCCCCCACCTCTCCCTCCCATGGCCAGGCTGCAGGAGGGACTCCATGGTATCTGCTGAACGAGTGTGCTCTGTCGGAGTTGGGATTGGTGCTGCGTTTCATCGGTAGGGTCTCCTGTCATTCATCTTCTTCCCTTAATGCCGGTTCTTCACTGGCCTTCCCCTCCTCCCCTATATCGCTCAGTTTCTCTTCTCTTGCCCTTTCACGTGTATTGTTGGTATTAGTTCTTTCATAGTTGCCTTTTCAAATACTTTTGGTATCAGTCCCTCCCCACTTTGCTGTCTGGCTACGTTGGACATATTCAGTAGGGCAGTCCTGTCTGTTGTAAAGACCCACAGTATCAGTGATACGGTTAATAAAGTCAGCGCAATGGTGACCCAGCATGACACCGAAACACTTGGAGGTCCTTCAGAATTTGTTGGCGAGGTCACTTC